CCTGTGAACATCTCAAATCAGACGTCCCAGTCTAGTGACAAAATTCTGGTATTGTTTTAGTTTAAAGTGGCTTCTCCATTGCACCTCCCACCGCACTCTATCTTTTCATACTTCCAGCAACAATTCTGAGTAAACAAATCACTATAAATAACTTTTTTTTTCTTCCGACTCCCAGTGTCCCCTATTTCACATGGGAGCAGGGTTTCTGGGGTTCTGTTTGATCTCCATTGGTCAGGGTTCCTGTTTTGTGCCCAGCAGAAGAGTAAAGAGTAAAGTTCAACCTCCCTCCTTCACCTCCATCCTCTCTCCCCTACACCCCCCCGCCCACCTCTTTTCCACCCGCCCCCCCACCCCGCCACAATATGCTAGTAAAGTGAGGCAGTGTTTGCTGTCAAGGCACATTCATTAACTAAACCCAGCATAAGTAATTCTTGTTGACATAGGTCAAATTGGTCATTTCCAGTTAATTTGCGCTATTACATATAATTACCCACTGGATGGTTTAACTGACTGTCACCAGTTCATTCTCATGTGAGAGATGTTGAACACGATTTTAAAACAACAAATATATTCTTTAAACCAGCAGATGTTTGTTTTAAGGAACTAAAAGTTGGATGCACAACATGAAAGCTCTATCCTGGCACAAGAACGTTGAAGAAAAATATCAGATGGGCTGATTCTATTGTAAATCCTATTAGATCACTCTACCGCATGAAGCAAAACTGTGGTCAAGCTCCCTACCAGTTATTGTTTGAACTTTGTAATGTGATTCTATCACCATTTCCGTTCAGTGTGAAAAGAATCTACACAGTTCCTAACAGTGAGGCAATTACACAGCAATATTGGAGCACAAAGCTGCAATAAAAGTGCTGGGAGTCACCAACGTTTTATCACATTCATTAAACCTCACAAGAACAGGTTAGTTCAGTTCAGGACAATCTTTTGTAACAATAGAGTTGATCCAAACTCCTCTTTACGATCACTTTTTAATCGTAGTGGTGAATGCAGATAATACAAGTCCTTTTGCTCAGAGCTTTAGCTTTGAAGGCCCACCCCGCGTGAAAGGCCCTATATAAATGCCAGTTGTTGTTGTTATTGAAAGGAGGGGGCCTTTCCAAGTCCTGGTCCACCAGCCAACCAAGAACATTAAATGCCTTTTATTTTATGTTGTTAAGGAGCCGGTCCCACCCTCCAATAAAATGTTGCGGCACTTTGAGTATACCTTTAGCTTCGCGTTGCCTAGTTCTCCTGTGAGAGAGATTGCAAGCAGGTCAATTGCCTCCAACGGCCACTGTGAACAGTACCTAGACCGAGGAGCTCTATCTTAAATCTCTCTCTGACCAATTATGAGCTGCTGATAGTGGAAAAGAAATTTGTCGTGATTATATCATTAAAATGTAAATAATGTTGTAGCATTATATTCCAGCTTCGCTTTTATTATTTTAGATGCAAATAATTGCCAGATGTTTCTTCATTTCTTGGAAACCCAGGTTTATTAAAACCATTTTTTATGTAGCATCAAAACCACTTAGCGATGATTCCAACTTTGCTTTACAATTCTCTCGTTACATTGGAAACAGATGTTGCCTATAATCTCACGGAGAACTCCCTATTTTTTACGTGATGCGAGACTCCTGTTTAGCTTTAGCTTAGCGTTCTGTCAAATATATTATCGGGTTTAATCTCTTGATTTTGAAGGTTAGAGCAAAAAAAGGAAAAGTTGGTTGAGGGCTGATATCGTGTGGGCACTCTAGGCTTACAGGCATAGAGAATTTTATCACAGAAATGATTTCCCCTATTATAATAATTATAATAATAATAATTCTTGCATTTATATAGCCCTTATCATTGAAATGATTCAAAGCACCTCACAGAGTTTTCCACACTGTGCAGTGACTATATTTGTAGGTGAACTTGTGTGTTGGTAAAGGTACAACAATAGATATTTAGGGCATATTTGGTGTCATACCAAAACCATGGAGTGGACCTAGAGTTCAAATTCCTTCACTCTTTGGCAACTCCCGACCTCTCCGACCTCCTCACTCCCCAGTCCACCACCCAGCACCTCCTCTCGACTGGCACCGTCCTCCTGTTCATCCCTCACACCCTCTGCCCCACCATCAGAGGTCGCGCTTTCAGCCAATATGCCCCAAAACTCTGGAACGCTCTCCCTTAATCCCTCCGCCTTATCCCTCTCTCCCCTCTTTCAAGTCCCGCTTGAAAACTTTCCTCTTCGACCGTGCTTACGGCCACCTCCCCCCTACCCCCAGTCGCAGTCAGGCTCCGCCACTGTTAAACGCTCTGGGATGCTACCTTGTGTGGAGAGCGCTATATAAGTGCAAGTTGTTGTTGTTGTAGAGGTAATAATGCAATTGCTTGATCACTTGTTCTCTCCCAACAAAGTATTTGCCAACGATTTACACAATCATTACACTTTACAGCAGATCCTGTGATTTTTTTTAAATTGCATTGCACACGACATATTTTAATGATGATAATAACCCTCATATTTGACATAGCACCTTTCACAAAGGGCTTCGTGTGACACGCAGTAAAATGCAGCGATTGTATTTTGTATTTTACAGCATGTATTTGAGATTTTCAGTGGGAGGTTAATGGAAGTTTTGAGCACTTGAAGCTGTCTTTTTGAATGTATGCATCATTATTCCACTTGCAAGGATTCTGGCAATTCCCAGCATGATCTAATGAATTACCCTGTACTAGACCAGAATGTGTAGCAGAGCAAATTAGCAGGAAATGTGTAGTTAGCAGGATGAGGATGTTATTTTGTGCAATAAATAACAAATGAAAGGACTTCGGTCGAGAGGTATTTTAAAGTTAATTGCTACACCATGAAGTGGTGAACCCATCCAGAAAACCTAGCCGCTTTGTTCAAACGCCATATTTCAAGCAGGAATTGGGTTGCATAATTTTTGAAGGTTATGTGTCCTTTGTTTGTCTTTCATTTGCATTTCCATATTTACTGAAAACTGTGCTGAGTGGGTAATTGTGTTTTTCCACAGTCCACATGATGTTGCTCAGAAATTAATGCCTGAATTTAAGCTTCAATACGTTTTCACTCTCAACTAGAAAACTACCTAAATTGGCCAATCCCCCCCCCCCCCCCTTGCTGCAAAGGACTGATGCATGTTAAATAATAACAATAATTATAATAATTAATCCTTGCATTTGGTACAGTACCTTTCATGTCAGGAGGATGGTTCAAATCGTTCCACAGGATTGTTTTCCTAAAAAGTGTAGTGACTATATTGTGTAGGGGAAATGCAGCAGCCAATTTGCACGGAGCAATGTCCCACAAACAGCCATGAGGTGAATAACCAATGTTATTAGGGGATTGTTGGCCAGCACTCCAAGAGAAACTCTCTTCTCTTTTTCAAATTGTGCCACCGGATCTTCAACATCCGTTCGAACAGACAGACGGGGCTTCAGTTTAACGTTTGACACGATACACGGCACCTGGAACAATGCAACGTACTTCCCTGAACTAGAGGGGTTCAAATTCCGGACGAGGAACTCGAACCCTAAGCTCTCTGACTCGGAAGCCAGAGTACTACCGACTTAGCCAAGCTGACTGATCACGATATTTGGACATGTAGGGCTCAAAACTTGGACAGAAGTTGTTAATCATTTGTTATGACTAATTTGTTCACAGTTTGAGGTCTTATTTGTTTCTCCGCGTGACTTATTCTTGTACTCTATTAAAGTAAAGAATCATATGACGATGCACTTATTACTGTTTTACCATCCCAAAATGGAATTTGTTCCCTTTGCGATGATTGCGATAAATGTAAATACTTTTTGTATTATGTTTAATTTAATAGGTTGACAAATTGATTCTGAATAATAATTGCCCTCTGGTTTCTTAAGGCCCTCATCAATTGTTTTAACGTACTGTTTAATATTTGTTTAAATGAAATCGGTTTCACTGCTCAAGTGCGGATTGAAAATTTTAAATTGCTGCCCAGCAGTAAGTAGGAACCGGTTGTTAGTCGATTGGTGGATCGCTTTTCCGGGAGTAATAATCTCTTCCATTAAAAGAAAGAAAGAAAAATTAGCAATTGACTGCCACGTTTCGCCCACAAAATTTACAGCCAATTCACTTTACAGTATATCCTGTGAAGCGCTTTGAGAGGTCTTGAAAACGTGATGAAGTCAAATGCAAGGATTATTATTATTTCTCTGCAAAATGCACATTGATTTCCCCCATTACTTTCCACAGAGAGCAATGTTTTCTTTCTAGTCGGACTCTTTTCCTTCCTGTTTAGGTCAGGCCGTGTTGTGCCGTGTTCCGTTTCCCCGATTGAGCGCGAGGAGAAACCACCTGTTTCCCGGCCTCTGCTGTTCCACTGTGCGGGACGTGTGAGAACAGCAGGAGTTGATTTGCCCTCTGACTTATCACTTATCCTTGCCTCAGCTTGTCAACCTGCCCCAGAAAGCTCAGCGGACATCAGCAACTCACCATCCTACCTCTCACTAACACCGTGTGCAGAGGGCACCAATACCACTGAAGTCTTCAAACTTTTAGTGAAACTAAATGCAGGACATTTGTTGGAATCCTTCAAGTAAACTCTTAATAATCCTTGCATTTGGTACAGTATCTTTCACATCAGGACGACAGTATCCTCACACTTGACGCCTTGAGACGCTTCACACTAAATGCCACAAAGCAGCACCCCGAAGCTCTTCACAGTATTTACTGTAAAGTGTAGTGACTGTATATTTGTAGGTGAACACAACAGCTGACTTGATTTTTTTTAAGAGAAAGACTTTGTACTAAATTAAATCTCTTTTGAGAACTCTCTACGTGTGGGTCAGTTTCCTACAGACCATGTATCGTTCAATCACTCGTTGGTTAGCCAATCTTATCTGGGGGAGGGAGTCGTGAGCTACAGTTGACCTCACATTCCAGGGCTGAGGAAGCAAAAAACAGGCAGAGTTCACATGATTCAATGCTTAGTCTCATCTGTGTTTTTTTGTAGGAAAAGGCAAGGAGCTGCCTGTCTTATCTGGTGACTCAGCTGGCAGATGCGGAACATTCGTTTCATCACATCCTACTTTTGGAAATTAAAGGCATCACTGACACATTCGGAAGCATTCTCGGCAACCAGAGCAAAGATGTGTATGACAACAGTAACAGCTATGCGGCAATCGCAAAGTTTCTGGATAAGCATCTTGCAAAAGACATTGCAGCAACTACAAGGTAGGTTGGAAACTTCAAAAGAATCTCTGCCTATACTGTAAAGCTGTAACACATCAGTTACCATTCGGTAGGAGCGAATGTGTATATTTATCTGTTGCTTACTGCCTCTTATGTCCTACTAAACAAACCACCAACAATGCATATCGCCAAATGGTTTTTCCTCCTGCCCCCGCCCGGTCACCTGCAGGGTACTCCAAGGCACCATCCTTGGCCGCCTTCTTTTCCTTATCTACCATCTGTGGCCCAAAGTGCTTCATAATTAAGGTCATAATCAGGCAATTAGTGAGCAAATATGGCAGAGTTCCAAACCTGTGTAGAAGGCAGTAAATCTATGGCTTGAGTGTGGGATGTTCTGGGAATGGTTGGACGATTCATTTTAATGGTGTGAGCAAGGAAACCCATATAAATTCCTCTGATGTGATTGATTCATTACATTACTGAATGCCTTACGTGCTACATTTTTTAAAATACTCTCCAGAATAAAAGAAAAACATATTTTCATATCATAAAAGGCTCAGCATTCGGTTCATGGAAATTATTTCTTCAGTGTAACATGGACATGAATCAGACATGAGGAAAGAGTGCCTAGAAATGCAATGTTGATTATGATTCATGTATGCAACAATTGACTGTGAAGTCAATCAATTAAAGCTTCAATTAAAAAAGTTAAATAAAGTAAAAGTTCTTATTCGGTATCTGCAAGGACAGTGGCCTTTTTACTGGTGGACAGTAGCAGACGCAAATTATGCTGGAAATCCATTTTGAGGCCATTTCAGACCAGCTACCAGGAAGTATTTCTTTACCTGGCAGATAATTAACCATTGGGACAGGAAGGGTTGGTTGAGGCCAGGACATTGGATTCATTTAAAAAAACAGCTTGAAAATCAGATGGGAGCAATGGTACTGTGGGGATTCTGAAAGCATGAGGTGAAATGGGTTTCTTTATTCCAAACCTCTTCTATGTTTGCGTGAGTCCTGTGCTTTGTTTTCATTAGGATCCCTGTAGTATTGACTGTTTACTTTGCTATCCATGCCTCGCAACTTCCTGTGTTTGTTTGGGAGAAAAGCTGGCAAAGTTTCCTGGAAGCATTTTAGATTCAGAATTCATATGGTGCGTACCCTGGTGTTTAAGTGGAAGGAGTAGAGGGTGTCACTTGCAGTGGTTTACCAACAATCATAAATGGTGATTTCATTAAAAATACAAAATCCTTGATCATATACTGAAAATATTTATCTGTGGATAAACACACATATATATTATATATATAGTGCTATATTTTGTAGAACAAACGTGGCAACCAATTTGCACACACCAATGTCCCACAAACAACCATGGCCAATTTTATTTGGGGATTGTTGGCCAGGACACCGGGAGAAACTCATTTTTCTTTCCAAGTGCTGCCATGAGATCCTCAGCATCCACCTGATCAGTCAAACAAGGTGGTATTTAACGGATCACATGAAGGACAGCACCTCTAACAGTGCAGTGCACCAGCCCCCACCCCATGGCTGGATTGTGCTGTCATCCTGGACTATAGGCTCCTAACATGGGGCAACCTTGTGTGTCAGAGGGGAGAGTGCTACCAAGTAAACCAGACTGATGCTCTTTACTATGGAATATTCCAGCCTGACCTTTGAATGTTCAGTTCCATGTACTCTTGACACCTTTCAAGATGTGATGGGAAACATGGTTAGTATTGGATTGTGCAGTACTGGATGCTCATGAATTTCCACAACACTGTAATTGTGCATGAAAACCGTGGAAATCCATTCAAACAATCTGCTTCCAATACATCATGTTAATGATTCCCATCCATCATTTCCAAAGATATGTCTAATTCCAGTGCAGATTAAGTGCAAACATGTCCCGGCAGGAAGGAGATAAAACACAAGCTAATTTCGAAGTCAAATCGTGTCAGTAATAGAGAGATATTCAACAAGGCTTGAAGGGGCAGGGGATAGGGTGGGGCAGTGGGATTGAATGAACAAACAGCCCTCTTCTGTGCTGTAAATTTCTATGATTCTCAGTCACCACTACTTCACTCATTAAGGTTAATTTTTGCATCCTCAGTTTTACTTCACATCTTTGCAGAAACAACAGAGAACCCCCCCCCCCCCCCCCCCCGCACCCACCCCACCAAAAAAAAAACGACACAGTGTAATTTACCACAGCTGCCCTGCTTTCATGTGTTAGTTCTGCCTACAGAATGCCTTTCATTCTTGAACATCACAGCAATGCTGTGGTCTAAAGTTTTCGCTCATGATTTCAATGTAAAATCCTCAAAGCTGATCACAAGAGACATTCACCAGGATCCTCACTCAGCACCAGGAAATTCACAAAGTTCACGTTTCACTTATAAGAATCAGATGTTAGATCTCACTGGGGGTTGGATCAAGTTACAACCTTAAGATGATGGGTGACTGTTCTGTTCCCTGTTGCATCCTATGCAACCTGGCAAAAATGTTCGCTATTCGTGCCGGAGGGCGATACTGACACGGTGGTGTAGTTGGATGTGTAACCTAAAGCAAGATCCTGTTGCCATTTAAGACATACATGATATCTCCATCCTCAAGGCAGGTCAAGTGTATCTGTTTCCTGCTGTCACATGAAGCATTGGAATGGATAAGACTCCTGAGTCCACTTGTTGCTTGTGTACATTTCTTGTGAGTTCTAAGTAGAATAGCCATGGCATCAGACCAATTTCTTATTTGGGTAATTGCCACAAACTCGTATTTTCTGCAGTTAATTAGACATAATGCTAATGGCATTAGCTCGCAATGACTACAATACCAATTAAACCAATTAGTAAGGGGATGACCTGACTAAAAGTTAACCAACCTGCAACATTGCACAATTTATTTGTGCACAAAGCAGGGCCATATTAACGTAATCCTAAAGTGGCAGCCTGACACGATTGCCAGTGGTCTCTCCTTGTGACTTCAAGTCCAACATCATTTGCTGCATCATGTCTTCATGGCTGTTGATGGGACATTGAGTCCTGTTTTCTCCTCCCGAAATACACAATCACTCCCTTTGCTGATAAACGTTGTGAAGCACTTTGAGCTGTCCTCCTGACATGAAAGGCTATATTGATTGCAAGGATTATTTTTATGATTACAATTATTAGTCAGTGATGGGGTTTAAAATATGATACTCTGACAGTCGATCACTTGGTTGGGTATTTGTCATATGTATTCTGCCACAGATTAAACTGTTATGATTTACAAAATGCTCAGAATTCATGTCCTGTGGGGAGCTGGAATTTTGCCTAATTTCTTTCTTCCTTAACTCAAGTAGTTGAGGCCCATTGTAGACCCCATCACTATAGTTGTCTGGACTGAGATCACCTTAACTCAGCATAGACTGTGATTCAAACCTATGGCTATCTAGTCTGTAGCATGGACCTGCACTGGGCAATGCTTTCTCTCGTTAGGTCATTGTAATGGTTAAATTCCATTTTAATTTAGGTTTTAAATGATCAGTTTTCACCTAATCATTGCCTTATGTTTGCTTGACATCCTAGACTTGTCTTGTCAGCTTGAATAGAATCTACCCTCTTTATTCTAAATTACAGTGTTTATTCTCAGTTACTGAAGTAGGGCTACATTGCCCATCCCGTCAATTTTCTCATTCAATAAGGATAAACGTCTTTACCCGACTCGGACTGATTTGCTCACATGCAGCACTGAACCTAATCTGTTTATTCTGTTGTTTCTCCAGGACAGAAAGTGCTGCTAAAACCGAAGCCTCTTCACACTCTTGTAGTTCTGAATCTGTCGCCAATCAATCTTCAGGAGACAATTGCTTCCATTTCAAAAGGCGAGCATCTGAAGGGAGGATTAGCAACGAGATCGCATCCCCCCGACACCACCGATACAGCCTGGAACCGACGTCAAAGGAGGAATGGAAAGAAATTAGATTTAACAGGTGAAAGTCTCATTTTAAACGTAACAGTTGTAAGGCAACTTAGGAACATGAGGAGGCCATTCAGCCTGTTAAGACCTTCCCATCTATTTATTGGATCACAGCCAATGTTTTCACTTCATTTCCCCACTTTTTCTTTAACTCGCATTTCTCTACAAATATCTATCTGTCTCCCTTTTAAACATCTCAATCAGTGCTGCCTCTACACCTTTCTTGGAGGAGTGTATTTCTTGGTAAGTTTTTTGCATTGCATTTCTGTGCATTTTCCATTCAATTCAACAACTTGCTCAACTGCTTATTACAGAACGTCACCGACTCATTTGCCACAAAACTGTTTTGCAATACTATAAATTATCAAAAGACTTGCTGTAATACTGAGGTAATGTAACTTGAAGCAAACATCACATTCCAAAACAAAAAGGTCTGTAAATACAGTGGTTTATTGCCCGTGGCATCTTGTATGAATATATGGCAGCACTGCTTGACATTATTCTTGGCAGGTTCACAGGAGTTAGTTCACATGGTTGCCAGGTACAAAATGCTGCCTGAATGAATACCTGAAATTTGCTTAGAGTTGGAATTGATGCTTCAAAAACTTTGTATTTCGAAATCGTGCTCAATTCTCAGAGCCTTTTAACAGATATTCCGTCCGCTATAATCTACGTTGGCGAAGTCCGTCGTTGCACAAGTTAATAGATTGAGCTTTCACACCCCTGCCTTTGCCCTTTTCAAACTGCAGATCCAAAAGCCTGGCTCTACACTCTGTGTGCACAAGGTCAGAAAACTCAGAAAACGACGAAGGAGAAATTGGAGACATGACCGCGGCTATCTCACTTTCGGATGGAGCGCTCAGTCAACAGAATGTAAAACAACCTTTGGGTCAAGAGCTCAGTGATTGTAAACCTCAAGAGCATCCTGTTTCTGGTTCCCACGTTACGCCAAAGCAGATGCGAAGCTCCTGCGACATCAGCGGTGCTAACTGTGAGAAGAGCCGGGAGGAGAGAATGAAGTGTAACACAAAAGCACAAGATCAACTCCAACTACATTTGAAAGGAAGATTGAATGAAGTGAAGGCATTTTTTGTTGAACTGGTGAAAAGAATTCCGGTCCCTGACCAGTGTGTCATTGAAGGTAACTCGACTAAGACTAAAAGCTATTTGTTTTAATGTTTAGCATTCACCCACAATACACACGTCGTCAACAACAACAACAAATTGCATTTATACAGCGCCTTTCATGTCGGGAGGATTTCCCAGGCACTGTAGAGTCAAGGATCTGCACCTGAGATGGGGGGGTTGGAAGCAAGAGGGTTAGAGGGCAAGTGAGTGTGGGTGGATGACCAAAGCCACGGTCAAAGAGGAAGGTCTTGAGACAGGCCTTGAAGGCGGTGAGGGAGGAGGCAGGGTGGAAGGGCTTCTAGTGCTCAATGTACTTTCTGAATCAGTGACTGGGGTTTGGTGCCAGGTGTGGGGTTAGTTAAGAAGAGAAGAAAAGAACAACAACTTGCATTTATACACTGTCCTTCACCGGGGTAGTGTGTCGGAGTGCTTAGGGAATGAGGACTTAAGAACATAACTTTTAAAACCATTTCTTTTTTAGAGAAAGAAGCATTTGCCAACCTCCCCCCCCCCCCCCCCCCCAAATACTCACTCACTATAGTAAGTTATATCATGAGTTAAGGATTGTGCTCAATGGCTGGTCAAAGCAAATGTGGGATTGCAGCTCTCTGCACGTTGCTGTGAACAACAGTATGCCTGGATATAATCTACGTTTGATAAACTGTAAATGTCTAATAAGTTGGAAGACCCGCGCAAACCACTGACCGCATCAAAATGAGCACCATATGATATTTGGCATTCATTGTAATTGAGTTATTTGCTGTGGCACTGAATCTTGCCAGAAACATTTATTCTTCACCCCAGAGTGATGAGACTTGGGCTCTTTGTATAATTCCTGATCTCACCAAGAGCTCTCTGGGAGGCCGTGAGCAGAGGGGAAAGTGCTTTGCATAAGGAAAGGAAGGCAGGCAGGGGGAAACTGCATGGAAATTTGCTGATAAATATTTCCCGAGAAATCAGTTCCAGAGCCCGGCTGCGAATGAGCTGCTGCTCATACGTGCTGTGTTCACCAGAGAGAATGAACGTAAAACAAGCTTCAGCCCATTTTATTTCACACAATCTTCCGATGAAGGTGTCAAGCTCTTTCCTATTTAAGAAGTTTCCGTCACTCTTCAAGGTAACCCATTGCAGTCATATTTACCTCCGGGTAAAGAAATACTTCCTGGTGTCTGGCAGGAAATTGCCCCTTGCAATTATGAACACGTTGCCCTCTTGTTCTGCTGCCTTGACGTATCTAAAAGTATTGTCCTAGGTTTGTTTTCTCAATCCCATTTGAAATCCACATTATATATTCACAAGGTCCTCTCTGTCTCTTTTTCTGTGCTGTATTACAATCTATTGAGATTGAAGCATCTGTGGATGCCAACATAAAGTGAGATTTAATAGTATTACCGAGGAGCTGGTTACCCAATTTTCTTCATAACTGTCTTTTTTATCTGCTGATAGTTATAGATTCCATTGAAATTTCTTAGCCAACTGCATTCTCTCCCAAAAAACTATCAAGGGACCTTTTGCGGAAAGAAGCCAAGTCTGTGACGAGCATTTATTTCACAATCTCATCTTTTCCTTAGATTGTGCCCTTCTGTGTGTGTCCTGGTGGTACAAATGAGATCCAAACTGACCTGAGTTGAGTCATTTTGGGGTCAATTGCTTCAATTTTCTCCATTTTTAGTTTGTTCCATCGTTTTTCATTTGAGAAGCAGCCCAGGTGCATATGGTGGTGGGATGGTGGGATTGGGGGGGTGGCATCTCTGTCTGACACACAATACATCATTCTTCCTGTCCTACCAAGCTTGTCTGCTGTGTGTGCATATGATGTTCAGTGGGGTAGACTGAAATGCATAGTTGTTTTCCCCAACTATTTGAGGGGGTGAAGGAGAGAGGAAAGGATCTTGTGGCTTCCTGGTATGCTTAGGCCTCCTAAGAATGCTTGAATTTTTAACAGCCAGAGCAAATCTTTGGTTTCAGACAAATCTTAACATTTTGACCTCCAAACCACTTTCCGATCCCCAAACTGCTCTGTGATCTGACTCAGCCCTTCATTCATCCTAAACCCAAGTCGTACAGTGTTTCCTGCTACAAGAAGTCTTAGAGTGAGAAGGCGCCTTGTGAAGATCCCTCAACCACAAAAATTCACCTCTCGGTGAGTCAATGAAGGGGAACGAAGGAATCTTGTTTGCCCACGTATTGAGGTCAATTGTGGTGCCTCATATTGTCACCTCAGTGAGATCAGCTAAGTTTGTGCAGATTTGGAATTGAACCTTTTGGTTTATATAATAATAATAATAATAATAATCCTTGCATTTGATATAGCGCTTTCCACGTCTTCTCGACGTCTCAAAGCGCTTCACAGAATATGCTGTAAAGTGAATTGACTGTATATTTGTGGGCAAAACGCAGCAGCCAATGGCGCACAGCAGCGTCCCACAGACAGTCGGGGATTGAAAATGACCAATTTATTATTGTTTTGTTTTGGAGGGATTATTATTATATTATTATATGACTAAGTCTCACACATAAGGCCTTAGGGAAAGCTTTGTGGAAACAATTATAGGGAGCCTGTGATCAGCATGCAGATTACCCTTTATTTAAAATAGCAATGAATCAGCAACACGAATAGTAATGAATAACAAATTGATGCCAGTTAACCAGCCGGAAGTCCACTGGGGTAAAGAAGTTAAAGCAGATTGTTCCAGTTGAATCCATCTCAAGTTAATGACGAACATTAAATTAATAAGTGTAACATTTTGATGGGAGTGTTGTGACATCATTCATTTCATCTGCAAACTGAGCTAACCTTCTTTAACACATTTGGCATCTCGAAGCCGGTTAAGCTGGATCTATGTGGGCACAAAGGTTGCCTCGGGTTAGTTTAAAATAGTAAACATGAGCTGTTTCATAAATTGTAGTTGGAAAATAGGAACCCACTTTGAATTATAAGGGTATCGCTTTGTTCCACACGATCGAGAAAATGGGAACAATTTCCAATATTTGTTTTCTTTTGCGAAACAAAAGGTTTACGTTTAACACTTAAAAAGCTCAGAGTTGTTAAGTAAAACTTAACTGAAAAGATCCCGATCATTAAAGCTGGATTTGTTGTTGGTGGTGGTGAAAGTTAGTGAGAATTCCTCATTAGCTCCAGAGATAATAATAATAATAATAATCCTTGCATTTGATATAGCGCTTTTCACGTCGGGAGGACATCCCAAAGCGCTTCACAGAATAGACTGTAAAGTGAATTGACTGTATATTTGTGGGCAAACGCGGCAGCCAATTGCGCACAGCAATGTCCCACAAACAGTCGTAGATTGAAAATGACCAATTTATTATTGTTTTTTTTGTTTTGTTTTGGAGGGATTATTATTAGGCTCTGTGTGGAGTTAGGAAACTTGCCCGAGCTTTCGCCCTCTGCCTGGAATTGAACACAGGTCTCTCACTTGCAAAGCGAGTGCTCTAACCACTGAGCTACAGGACTCCACGGGATGGGCATTGTTACCATTTACGAGCGCTGTGAATGTAAAGATCATCATCGCACCGTCACATTTGAGTAGGTTTCCTTACTCCGCACGCCTCTGTTTACCCAGCAGGAAGTAGGAACCCGTTGTTAGTCAATTGGCAGATCACTTCTCTGGGGGTAATAATCCCTCCATAAAATAAATAATAATTTGGTCACTCAATCCACCATTGTTTGTGGGACACTGTTGTGAGTAAGTGGCTGTTGCATTTCACTCACAAAATATACGGTTAATTCACTTTACAGTATATTCTGTGAAGCGTTTTGAGACGCCTCGGAGACATGATAAGACGCTGTATCAAATGTAAGGATTATTATTATTGTCACTAACCCATGTATCTTGAGCTCGTATGAAAATATTTCCTTGTTTGGCTTCTTTCTGCTGTGACAGTTTGAAGAACATACAAATGATTAGCTGCGATGTGATCTGCTCCCTCCACTGATGCTGTATCTCTGTCAGCCAGGTGGTTCCTGATCATTTTAGACAGTGAGGCTCGTGGCAAGATTCCCCAAAGGGAAAATAACTCCCCATTAATAACAACAGAAAGTTGAGCTGAACGCTTCAGGACAGCTGCAAAACCACATCAAATATCACAAATGGGCAGCAATCGCTGTTCTCTCCGACACTGTCGAGGAAAACAGATGAGTTTCCAAAGCTTTTAAATTCAAATGTAGCTTTGTTCTCCTATCAGAGGAATTAGGCTTTATCAGTGACATTCATGATCAGAAGCAAAGCCTGGTGTTGGCTTGCAGCTATCATGATCTTAATGTATTCCAGGATTATAGTTTGCTTTATACTGAGTTCCTGGGCATTCTTCTGAAAATTTCTGTGTAATTCTTGATGCGACTTTGAATGGAGCTGCTCTATTTCCATCGTTCATTTTCAAAACTCCTGCACAGATAGATTTGCTAGTCATTTATTTGATTTTCTTTTCCTTGCATAGAGTTTTGTTCTCCGACCCACAATTACCACTTGCACCTTCCTTGGTTGAAAAGACTTGCTGCCAATGCAGCTCTAAAGCTTTTCCAGGGGTAATAATCCCTTTTTAAAAAGAAACTAACAATAATTTGGTCACTCAATCCAGAACTGTTTGTGTGCGCAATTGGCTGCCGCGTTTCGTCCAGAAAATATACAGTGAATTCACTTTACAGTATATTCTGTGAAGAGTTTTGAGACGTCTCAACGACGTGATAAGGCGCTATATCAAATGCAAGCATTACTATTATTATTATGATCGTGCATTTGCAGGCGAACGTACACAGCAATAACCGTGGAATTGGCAACCCTTGCTGAGCCAAACTGTGGTCACTCAGACCTGGGCTGAAACTGTTCCAAGGTTTATTTTACTTGGGTTTCTTTTCGGATGCCGAGAAAGAGAGACGTTCATTCCACTAGTCTGGGTAAGATTAGTGCAAGATCCAAAGGTGAAAGGGCAATGTCCTAACTTATTGCACCTCCCACTCCCCTAAAAATAATCAAACGAGAGAAACAACCTGGAACTCATCGTGAGGCAACGACAGCTCATTCCTAACAGATATACCTAGGTGGCCTTTGACCCGCAAATCTTACTCGACATGAAATCAGTGATGAATTTCCACTGATGAAACTTGTATTGCAAACACATGCCGATAATGGAGTTTCACATTACAGCTCTGTAAGTATTATGGAAAAGGGGGTCTTCTTTTGGATATTATTTCGAGGAAGGAGGTTGGGTGTGTATTGGCTTCTGCTGATTTAATAGGACAGGGGCCCTCAATTTTGTAGAGGGGAGACATTTTTATTAAAAAAAAATGAAACGTGTTTGTAACTTTGTCCCATCAAACATATACTTGCAATTATTTGCAATTTTGTTTTCGTGAAAAGTTCGAGACAGAGACAGAGCGCTTGGGAACACTGAGAAATTGGCTTGAGGATGGGTGTCAGGTGGTTTTAGTTAGCTACGCAGAGCCAGTTGTAGTGTTTCTATGGCATTGACAATACAGCAAGGTCCCAGGCCTGTCTGAGATGCAGGTTATTTAGTTTCACCTGGAACTCGCTGCCTCTGAGTGCCATACAGCTGTTTGTATGTTAAAACCGCTGGGAAATTATTCTGGTTGTTAACTCGCGTGTGTGGAATAAATGGCGCATCCCATGTATGCATTGTAATCACTGTACTTGGCGCCTGATGTTAATGTTCACATCAATTGCACAGGAATGTGCCATGTGCATTGGCAGACTTGCATTCTGCAGGTCCCTATTGGTGCCTTTTATTTCTTCTCTTACTGTAAAGTTTAAACGAGCAGGCAGCTCCAGAAAAAAGGAAACGTAGGAAAACAGGAGTGGGAGGAGGTCATTCAGCCCATCCATCCAGCCTGTTTCACCAGTTTATTTGACTTTTTAGCAATTTTTTCTAATCCAAATGCAGCGACCTTTCACCAAACTCCATTTGCTATAAGGTCAGTTACAGCTGTAGGGGACGAGAGGAAGTACAGAGCATTTAACCCCAGAGTTAAAAGCACATCATTGTAACACGAACGCCCATTCACCCCTTGTTTCTCAGGACATTTTCATTGCAGAATAATCGCACTTAGTGGTTGTTATCCTTTTGATCTGAATCATAAAGCAAATAAGCAAAATAATTTTTTGTTTTAGGAAAAAATAGGAAAACAATAAATTCTCTGTGTGGAGAAACATTTGGTTCTTGGAAGAAAACACTAGTAATTACGTGTTGATTAACACCACAGTATAATATCTTTTATGCATTACTGAAAGATTGTTTCACTGCATCACAAATTGGGTTTGATTCCCGAGCAGGGCGAAACATTGGGCAAGATTGCCAAATGCCTCTGTTCACCCAGTAATAAGTGGGAACCTGGTTGTTAGTTGATTGGTGGATCACTTTTCGGGGGTAATAATCCCTCCAAAAAGTTTTTTAAAAAAGTCAATCTATAATTGTTTGTGGAACACTGATGTGCGCATTTCACTGCCGCATTTCGCCCACAAAACACAGGCACTACACTACACAGTACATTCTGTGAAGCGCTTTGAGACGTCTCGAAGACATGATAAGGCGCTATATTAAATGCTATGATTATCATTATAATATAAGATTGTTTTATTAGATCACGAATTGCACGTGAATTTGTCCTGATCTGTTTCCATGTGATAATATTGATGCTGTTCAAATTACTGAAGTGACTTATAAATGCAGCGCATTCCATTTGCCCAATGCCTGTTTTAAAAGCTAATCGCGAAGCTTTCAGTTAACTGCCTCTAGTCCTGACGGGTAATTGCGACCATATGGCGGAATAATGTATTAAACGAACTCCAACAGAGATTGTTGGTCACCTCTTCACTTGAGTGACTTTCGCCATGTCAGTCTTGGGAGGGTTTGTTTATAACACGCACATCTGAAAACCATTCGGGAGTTCGGAATTTCACATTTTTTTTACAATTGTCATAAATGTCTGAGTGATGTCATGGTCCTGAACTCGAGATCTCTCTCTCCCCTCCCCTCCCTCTCCCAACCAACCCCTCCGACAGAAATACACTAGAATTGGGCCACAAAGTACAAACAAATTTATAAACCCGCCTGAACAACAAGTAAACAATTAGCTGACTTGGAAACGAACCTGGTCAAGAACCAAGTAACTTTTTTTTAAAAATTTCTTTATCAGTTACTGTTGCCCGCACTCTGTACACCTCCCTCCAAAAATCCTTCTCCATTGCACCCTCTCTTCCTGTTTTAAAAACCCTCGTAAAGCCTCTTCTACCAGGTTTTTCGTTGCTTTCCTTCTATTCTTCCCCACCACCCCCACCCTGCCTAAATCCAGTGTCCAATATGATATATGAATGCAAGTTGTTGTTGCCTCTTGATGATTCACGCCGTCCCTTTAAGACGTATTCCTCCCCAAAGGCTGCTAAGTCAGTGCAAGGTGCAGTAACATTTGCACAAATTGTTTTGTGGAAGACCCAGAAAAGAATTGGCTTCCAAATTGAGCCTAAATAATCTGAGTAGTCTTTCAGACCTTAAGGCAAAATGGCCTTCCAGCCGAAAACAAGGGAGATTTGATGACAAAGTGGAATTTCAGGTCTTGGAAATACTACAAAGGTGTTACCGTACATCAACCATTAAATAGCACAGATTGAAGATGTAGAGAAGGAAACTGTGGAACCAAACAGAAATGAATCTTGATATACAAACGAGGGAGAAAGGCTAGAGGGGTAGGGGAGAGGGAATTAGGAAAGAGGCTCTGTGTAAACACTTGCATGGACTAGTTGGGCCAAATGATCTGTTTCCTTGCTGTAATGTTTGTGTAATTCCAGTTCTATGTAAGAAACACTTATGTGATAAGCTGCTACGCCAATTGCAAATATTATTCTCACAGGTTTAAGTTATATCCTAGAATTCTGTAGTATTTTTATGACAATGCTGCTGTTCATGTCCAGATTCCATTAGTAGATGTGCTGCTACCTTGTTCTTCAGCTGCCCACAGAGAGGATACTATTGCCTGTACAGTAAATCAAGCTTCACCCTCAGCAGTCCACAGCCTCAACTCTGGATCCAGGTCATGTTCCTCTTTCAGCAGGTAAGAGTTCTATTATTATCACTACGTCATATTTTCTGCCCCCTGTCATTTCGGTCTAGGTTCTTGTCCAGCGCTACACTACACACAAACACGCAATTCCCCTAGTTGAAGAGTAAGAAAGAAGAGGTAGTAAATCCAACGTCACAGTTAAGTGATGCCCAAATCAGTTAAATCCAACGTCACAGTTAAGTGATACCCAAATCAGGTAAAGTTTAAGGGAGTCACCAAATTATCTGTGACGGCCTCTGAGGGAATCAACCTCACCTCCACGCCAGGCAAATGGAAATAAATAATCCTCTCAATTGATTTCACGTTGGGCAGACATCTCAAAGCACTTCACATCCATCTATCCATCTCTACCCTACAGTACTTTGTGGCAAATCTTTCCTTGTCTTTTTGCAGAGCCTTTCAACAGTTCCGCTCAGTAGCCAGGACACATCAGTGCAGGTCCTTAAAGCCCTGTGGGAGAGAGCACAGCTGAAGGGAGCTCACAGCTTCGAAGCGGCAATGATCCAGACAACAATCCCCTACAAGAAGGTGAATATGGATCTCTTGGAAAGAAAGATGAAAGCGTCGTGATGTAGTCATAATAATTCTTACATTGGGTAGAGCACCTTTCACGTTGGGAGAATGTGTCACAGCGTTTCAAAGGATGAACTGTAAAGTGCGGTGACTGTGTTTTTTGTGGGGGGTTTTTTTAACTAAATTTAAAACTTGATCATATTTCAAGGAAATGTTTCATTCAACATCTGATTCGAGACCTACCTCTTTGACCTAACTCTTTCAATCACCTTTCCCCGCCCCATCCCCCTCAGCTTCCCTCACCACCACCCCCAGCTCGGATGTCAAACCAGGCCTGTTAAGCGCACTGGGATCTTCTCCCGATGTGAAAAGCGCTAATATAAATGCAACCCCGGATTCTCAACCACAGCCACTCGAGTTTAAATCTCACCATCAACATTCAAACACGGCTCCCTTGCTTTGAATCAGTTTTTATCAGCGCAGTAAATCAATCGATACTCCTGTCATCTCCAGAAGCCAGGCTGGAATCCAACTTCAAAGTAATCGGGTGAAATCATCCTCTCCGGTCCATGTTAAGAGCAGAATCAAAAGGATTAACAGCCACTAAACAAGAACTCACCGAGTTAACCATTACCCCACTAGTTTTCATTCAACTTCAGATTTTAAGCAATTTATTTTGTCCCATTTTTGACCGTTTTTTTCTCATTCCCCAAAACTGTTTTCACTTCCTTTAGTGAAGCCAACAGGCACCAAAATTATTATTCTTTTGGGAAATTTTTTTTATATAATTGCACCGTCCAATTAACATGCATTTATTTTAATTTACTCGGGGAGCACAATCCTGGGAAATTATATCGAAAAACAAATGTCAGGAAGTAACTGCAATTGATGCCATGTGAATTCTGACAGCTTTTATTTCTCCTCTTGTTTTCACAAATTCTTTATTCCCCGAAGTTATTAAAGAAAAATAATAGTTAAATTAAAAAAAACTTGCGTTTGATGTAGCGGCTTTCACGTCTGGAGGATGTCCCAAAGAACTCCATAGGATTTTACGGTCGTGCAGTGACTGTATTTTGTAGAACCCAACAGCCAATTTGTGCACAACAATGCCCCATAAAACAGCTGTAAAGGGTGTGACTGATTTTATCTGGGGGATTAATGGCCAGGTTACCGGGAGAAACTTTCTCCTCTTTTTGAGTATTGCAGTGGGTTCTTTAACATCCACCTGAACAGAAGGGTAGGGCATTGGTTTAACGTCTCATCCAAAGACAGAAACCCCAACACTTACACCCAGCACTGTGTTGGAGTGACAGCTTGGACTATCGGTATTAAAATTCCCAAAGTAGTGTTTCGGCTTGCAACTTTCAGCCTGCTTGGCAAGACTGTAAGACTGTGGAGACTGCAGAATTATAAATTACAGAATGACTTTTTATATTTTTAAAAATTTAGCAACTTATCGCACCAAATAAAGCATGTTTTTTTAAAAAAAACCTATTCAGTTTTAAGCAGATGTAATGTTTCGCTGCGTACTGTGTCTCAAAGGATTCCTATGAGTACATCAGCTATAGAGGACAAGCACGGACAAAGATTAGTGGGAGTTGGGCAATGCTATATATACATATACATATATATATATTTAATTCTCGTTTGCTTCTAACTTGTTCCCAAACACAGATTATTACGGAGTGAAAATAAATTGTATTTTAACGCTTCAAGGCATTTTTGTGTATTGATTAATATTGATTGTGAAACATGCCTTTTGAGAGTCTGAATGTAAGCCTGGATATAGAATATTTCCAGATGGTTCCAGATAATCAGGGCACACTTACAGTGCATTACTTCAGCTGTATCTCCTGGGATGTCTTAGCAGCCAATTCTTTATTTCTCATAAAGTCAAATGCCAACAGGTTTCTCAATGCAGGAAACTAGAACTGGTAGCTCATGAACAAGAGAACAATAGAAACATTGAAGACATTTTACAGTTATTGCACATAAAAAGGTTTTGTGGGGGGAAAATACTGCACTTAAGAATGTAATCATTCGGAATCTACCCCCCATCTGTGTTTTATTTTTCTTTTAAATAGTTTAGTTTAGAGAGGCATTGCCAGAACACTCTCAAGACAATAAGAATCTATAATACTCTCCAAACCATTTAAGTATTTTTCGCGGTGCGAAAGTTCACAGATCCACTGTTGGGAACAAGTGATTCAGAGTGATTGCACCAAAGGCAAAACTGACGTACAAACAATCAACGTAAGGAAGATTTTCGTAACAAATAAGGGATTAAATATTGAGAAAGTTGGAAGGATGCTACAAAGTATTCCACCGGGTTTAACAGTCAAAAGAACTCCAATCCAAAGACAAAATTGTGTTCTGCTGACCGAGTTAAATTTAATCATTCCAATTTCTCCAGTTTTAAAGCTGGTTTTCTGCTGTTATTGCTACATGGATGTCATTGATTGCAAATTTTGAAGCTATTGATTTATTGCTTGTAGAGAGATACACGGTTTGGTTAGAGCAGACTGCCTCTCCTGGGGGAGGAAAAGAAACATCAGTGGGTAAATCAGCTCTCGTCACCTTTGCAGTACATTATACAGCCTCTTCATTCAGTCTGTTCCGTTGTTTTTTTTTTGCATTTCTAAAACGGCAATTGTCCTGAGCAGCGCTATCTTCAATATATTCAATGTTTTTTCTTATTAAGAAATACCTCATATTAGACCCCCCACCTCCCACCCCATTCCTGTGACCTCAACTGTGACGTTGGTATTGATTTTTACTGTGGGAAACATGGGTGGCGTAGATGAACTGATAGTTTGCGTGGAACATGTAAGCTACACGTGTAAGATGTTTTAGTGTATACCAGAATGATAAAAAGAACACTTATCCCAGAGAAACTGCAGTAGGACAGTGTTTTGGAGAAGCAATGTGTGTAGCATTAGATAGCAGAGTGCAGGCTTAAGAATATACAAACATAAGAACTTGTTAGACGAAAGAAGACCAAGGTCTATCCCGTTTGGCAGTGGCTTGACATGTTGTGTCCCAAACTGTTTCCCGAGATATTATTTTCTAGCAGAAATTGATCTAATTTGAAACAAACAAGATTTTCTGCTTTCACTGTCTGTCTCCCTAGGGAGCCTGTTCCATACGTTTACTACTCGCTCACTGAAATAGTATTTCCACATGGTTTGGTTACCTCCAATCTTTTCATCGCTCCTTGTGTTGAAAAAGAGCTATTTCTTGTGTCATTCTCACCCAACTCTGAGCAGCTTTTATTTTTACTCCAGCTTGATTGAGAAAAAAAATTGGGGCTTTGCCTTCAAAAAAGAGAAAAGTGAAATTATGGTCAAAACTCTTTCAGTAGTTACCGTTTTTTTTTGAACCTTTAAAAGTCTCTTCTCTGTTCTGGTATTGGAACAGGATCTGGACAGTCTACGCATACACCTTGAGGAAGTTCGGTTCTTTGACCTGTTTGGCTACAGCGAGGAAACGGGAGTCTGGCAGTGTTTCATGTGCAACAATCCGGAAAAGGCAACGGGTAAGAAAATCTGTAATAATAATAATAATCCTTGCATTTGATATAGCGTCTTTTCACGTCTTCTAGACATCTCAAAGCGCTTCACAGAATCTGCTGTAAAGTGAATTGACTGTAGTTTGTAGGTTAAGGTACTCCAAACAGAATCTAAAACTTCTTGCATCTGTAGCCAATAAAAAGTTAAAGTTGAATAATGGTGTGCGTTAATCCCACTTTGGATCCCAAACTAGGAGCATATAAATTTATTTACAACTGAGATTGTTGACGTAAAGGAGAAAGTGAGAATTTTAGCCCATGGATAAGCATTACTCCGGTTACAAAATGTAAAATAGCTGTTTAAAAAGATTTCCCCGCAAGCTAATTAAATATACGGCTGAGTTCCTTGTCCAAGAGTTCAAGAGTAAGATGAGATGTTTGAGAAGGGCTATCTTTAAACTTGGCCGTCATGACTATTATGCATTGGAAACACTTATGTTTAAATGTGGTATTGCTCAGGACTATTTTTCCATCCTCCGTTTATGAGCAATATTTTTTTCATGGATTTTATCTAAGAATTGATTGCCATCCAGTAGTTCTTGGAATTGGTCACTTTATGATTCCATAATTCCCAGTAAACGCAGCTCAGATCATTTGATGGTTTGACTATTTATGTTGCATTTGATGTTTAGTTTTTCAGTTGGTTGCACTGTGAAGCGCTCTGAGACATTACCTTACATGCCATATACATGCACGTTGTTGTTGCATTAGTTTTTGATATCAGCCTATCTTCCAGGGCTTTTGCCTCTCAGCTTCTCATTGATAGTGATGCTCTTGCCTCATGGTTCCTCTGTTGAGGTTGATTTGCCAGTTAGCCTGATTTTGAATTTCTCCTATAAGAATGTAAGCCCTGGTGTTTATTATAATAATATTCCTTTGCTTGTTTCTTGCCAACACCAACTTGTTGATTACCTTCATTATGCAGTTTGATAATTGGTTGGAAGCAACCACCGAGTGAGAGCAAACATCAATTACCATGTATGAGGACTGCAAGGTTGACTGGTTAATATAGACCGCCAGAAACCATGGGAGGACAGTGATGGCAATGAGACGGGTAGTTAGGAAACTCTGCTCCTATGAAACTCCAGGCAGCCATGAGAAATTACGTAACAAATGACTTGAAAAAGAATCAGAATCATCTGGATTTCATGTCCTGTACTGGATGAAATATCCTCAAAACAACCACTGCTGATACTCTTTTTCATCCATGAGTATATTTGTATCCCTGAAATCCAGATGATTCTGATTTCCTCTCCCCTGGTTGAAGGGTCTTTAATGTGACGAAGATGCATATTGTTAACACCCTTTGTCAAAGAGGATAGGATTATGCCCATTTGTTTAATTACTTGACTGAAACCAGTTTCAACCAGCGCCTTTATTCCCTCCAACATCGATAAAAAGACCTTGCTACATAAATGTTCTGATGTTTTCACTTAAGCGATAGCGAAAAAGCAACTTTTGTGAGCCTTGCCGGTGCCATCTTTCAGAAGAGACACTAAACTAACTGTTCAGGCGGACATTAAAGATCCCGTGCACTATTCGAAAAAGAAGAGAGTCTGTTTGCTTTACAGTAAATCCTGTGATGCTCTTTGAGATGTCCTACCAATGTGAATGGTGCTGTATCAAAATGCACTGATTAGTATTTCATAACAGTCTCACTGGAGCTCTGCTCACTCACCTCCTGCTAAACTCACAGGTAAAATGTTCTGGCTGGACAAGCAGCAGGAAGTTTGCCACAAGCTCTGCAGTTTCAACTCCAACAGTATCCCAACCCAAACTCCGGGATTCCCAAGCCTTGTCTCTTACCAACATAATACTCTCCAGAATTAGATAAACCGGGAGCAAGTTCCACATTTCATTCCAGAAACAAGGAAATTTCCACGTGTACAAGGCACACATCAGTGGGACTCAGCCTGGTTTAAGTTTTGTGATGTGTTTCCGAATGAACACCATCTGACTTAAAAACAAATTAAATATCCGTGTAGTGTTCGTACCGTCAATAATTCTCTCATTTTATTTAATCCCCTGAGAGGTATTTTTAATCATTTTTAATCACACTCCTATACCTCTCTCCCTTCTACACCCCCAGCTCGGGTCCGAAACACTGACTGTCCAACGCCTTGGGACGTCCTCCCAACGTGAAAGGCGCTGTGTAAATGTCATTTGTTGTTGTTGATAAGCACAGGTAAATGCTTGAGGAAAATTAAGCTGAAATTTCTCTGCCCTGTTTGCCTACAAATACAATTGCTACACTTGAAATTCCTTAAAAAAGAATTTGGTCACTTCAATCCACAACTGTTTGTGGGGACGCTGCTGTGTGCAATTGGCTGCCATGTTTCTCCCACAAAATATACAGTCAATTCACTTTACAGTATATTCTGTGAAGCGCTTTGAGACGTCTCGAAAACGTGATAAGGCGCAATATCAAATGCAAGGATTATTATTGTTATATTGTTATAATTACCTGTAGAATGCTTTGAGGCATTCAATGTGATAGTCGCTATGTGAAATGCAAGGATTATTATTTATTAATGTCTGTCTAGCATTATAGTCTTGTAGGAATAACCAAAATGGGCATTTACAAGAGCACACGAGTGGTTCAGATGAACAAGCCTCTGCAGTTCATTACATCTCCTCTTTATACAGGACCGACCCCAACCAATCCTCCGATTCCAACTCTCAGCCTCATTTTTAAGAGTCCACTGTCTGGGTCTCGACCACTTTTATTGGTAACCTGTTCCAGCTGTGGATAATCCTCTGGGTAACACAATACTTCCTGTAGCCTGTCCTCAACTTTGATTTCACAACCTTGAAACCTTTGTCCTCATGTCTTCTTGCGGTGGTTATTCTGGGGGAAAAACTGTGAAAATAACATCCAATTATATACAGCAGTAGGCGTTCGCCCTCTGAAATAAATTACGATCGCTCCTAATTTGATGATCCTTACTTCTAGATGTGTTTAACTGACTTGCCTCCCGGAGGTGAAGAGAATGGGGGTTTCCTCGCTTAGCATTGATTCGTGGCCCCATTTCTAAGTCACAAAGAAGGGTAGCTTTCCATGGCCCATCACCTGAGCTACAACACCACTTCGAGTGCTGCCAGGTCAACGTGTGATTTAGATATTCTGATGTTCACTCATGCCATTGTCACCTTTCCACTCTTTCAAAAAAAGTCTTCTTTGTAATAATAATCCTTTCAATTGCTGTAATAATAATCCCCACATCAGGGAGACAAGCGTGAAGCACCTTGGAACATTCTCCCGACATGAAAGGCACTGTACAAATGTAATTTTGTTGTTGTTGTTGTAAAGCGTAGCGACTGTGTGTTTTGTAAGCAAACGCTCCCTCATGAGAGGAGGAAAAGAGCAGACAGCGGTCATACAATGTGCTAGTAATTCAAAGAGAGCTCCTCTACTCTCCTCGTCAGCCCCCCAGTGAGAACATGGAATAATACTTTAAAACATGGTTGCAGAACTCAGACAACAGTTTGTGATCTCTTCCACAGTAGAGAAGTAATGCTTTCTCTGGCTGATGGCAAAGGAAAAAGCGGATTAGTTCCACTGCTGGAGTCTCTCTTACATGTTTGTCAGATGTTTGGTGGGGGGCTGTTGCCTCACTGGAGGGCCAGGCATTTTGATACAGGATCTGCTGATTACAAGGATCTTAACTTGTCTCGTGGCTCACCTCTCCCTGTATCATGAGCCACTTTTCAAGACTTGACAGCAAAACGGAGACATGCACCGTAAATACACATTCCCCATTCTGTCTTGCTCGCTGGTTTTAAAAAAAATTGTACGATTAAAAAGGAAGGAAATAGTAGGTAGTACAATCTACTGAACCAATATGTCTGATTCAACATGGTGCCACGTTTAAAACACTTGAAGTTAACTCGAAGATTGTACTTGATCTTGAGCTGTCAAGAACCTCCAATCATATTCTGTGCAACCTTCAACCTATTCAACCATTAATCCTTCACCATTCATTGTGGCCCAGTTGTAAACATTTGGTCGCATGTTAAGACTCAGTTTGTACTTTAGTGATGCGGAAGAGAAATGCAACTTCATAGCTTTAGATTTCTGCAGTTCCTTGCTTGTCTTACAAAAGGCTATGTCTTACATAAATTGGAAGTAAATAAGTTGTTTCTTTTGCATCTCATTCATTTCACCTTCTGCCAAAAATCAGCATCGGAGACACTAAGTGAAAACAGACTCGCAACATTTTTTTGTTTATGTTTAAGAAAAAAAGCCTCCCAGTCAAATCTAGAAGATAAAGTATAAAGGTTGCGCAGGGGATTCTTGGAAATTCGCAGAACAAATCTCATGTTGTTGCAAACAAGAGCATTGGAGCCCTGCAGTTTATCAGCCAAGAAAACACAGATATTTTCAAGATGATGGGGGGCTATTGTTTTTGTGTGTGGTTCTGTGCCTTCAACAGTAGAACTGTCATACAAGGTGACCTTCATTTGCCTTGGGTCTTATCGTATGTGCCCCCAAAAAACTATGTGGCTCACAGAAAGTGATGGCAGTGGCGACCCGTTGACCCGGAAGCCAGCGGTCAACTTTCTGCGCACACGTGCAGTGACGTCCCTGTTTGATTGGGATTGTACGGAGCCCAACTGCAGCGTCATAACAGGGTTCTGCTGTGTGCACCTTCCTGTACAGATTAATAATAATAATCCTTGCATTTGATATAGCGCCTTATCGCAGATAAACACGCAACAGGAAGACATTTAAACTTCTAAAAATAGATGCTCCAGACTGTCCCTCTGCAGCTCTGATTCAAAATGTATCCAATTCAAATCCCACTAATTCCCAGAAATGTGAAGACATTTCCTGGCATAGACATTCCTGTTCCAAGCATAACATTTGATCCATTGCTCAACAAATCCATAATGCGTCAATCAGCATTCAACTGATTGCACGGTAGCCGTGACAATTTATTTTCCGAAATGCTTGATAGATTATTCTGCTCAAATATCGAGTGGCATTAGGCTGGATAATTAGAAATTTGGAAGAGGGTCTTTTATTCTGTATAGTGTTTGCAATTTGCTTTCTGAAGGGTTTGGAAGTAGGTTGCAGTGAGATTAGTAATGCGCCTTGTTTTGTAGTCAAGTCGTGCAATATAATGCTTTGACGTTGAAAATATCCTGATACTAGCTGCAGGACGTCTATAGCTGAAGCCCAGATATTTGGTTGGAGAAAAAAAAAACACAACAAAGAAACTTTAGTCTTTTAGATTGGCCCTATGTTGAAGATTACCCATGTGACTAATACATTACTTTGAAGCAATGACTATTTATGATCAAATGTCTTGTTTTTTTGGGTTCCTATTACTTATTTGGTTTCAAAAGTAAGTTCCAGCTCTGTTTCGACGCCTGCCCTTATTTTGCTCACTGTGTATTCCTGATTAGTTTGGCGCGTTTCGGGAACAGGATCTCTCTGTTGTACTGTCGGACAGTGGAAACTGTGCCCAATTGATATTCATTTCTTTTATGGATTCCTGCAGAATGTTTCAATCTCAAAAAATTATTGACCAAAATTTCCTTTGGGACTCAAGTTGTTTAAAAGTTGCAACATCTGTAGAGAAGTAGTTTAGGTTTGGCACATTCTGCATGTTTGGGATGTATAATAATCCTTGCATTTGATATAGCACCTTATCACGTCTTTGAGAAGTCTCAAAGCACTTCACAGAATATCCTGTAAAGTGGAGTGACTGTGTTTTGTGGACGAAACATGGAAGCCTGTTGGCCACAGCAGTGTCCCACAGTCATGGATTGAGCGACCAAATTATTATTATTATTAATATATTATTAAGATACGTTTTGAGTATTAGAGAACAATGAATGTGCTTCACCCCATCAGTGAGTAATATACACCAAGAGATCAAATTGAAACAACAACAATTAACATTAATAAAGTGCCTTTCGCATCGAGAGGACAATTGTCTCCCAGAGTGTGAAATACTTTATTAATGTTTAGTTATGGAACTGGTGTTCAAGATCAGCTTTTTTTTAATAAAATCTAACCAAAATATTATTCAAAAATAAATAATAATAGACAAATTGAATACCAGTTTTATCATTTGACTGTGAATTGCTTTGAGATATCCTCCCAATGAGAAAGACTCATTCCCTCTTTCTATTGTCTATTATCACTCTTTCTGTTTTCTTTAACAGTTGTGAATCAGGATGGTCAGCCGCTCATTGAAGGCAAGCTCAAAGAAAAGCAGGTCAAATGGAAGTTTATAAAACTATGGAGGACCCGTTATTTCACTCTGGCTGGAAATCAACTTTTCTTTCGGAAAGGGAAATCAGTAGGTAGATGTTTAACATTCATAAGATTTTTAAAAAAACATTAATGATACTGTACCACAATAGGCAGGAGATACAAACCAAGGCAGTGAAACAACTGCAGGAACTACCAAAATACTAATTGCACATTGAACATTTGCAGAGAGAGAGGGGGATAGAGAGACGGGAAGGGTGTGGGGGAAGGGGGCTGTTTTTGTACAGTTACACAGCTCTGCCTTTGTCCTTCAGAAAGATGATCCAGATGACTGTCCAATTGAGCTGAGCAAGGTACAGAGTGTGAAAGTCATTGCGAAAAAACGGAGAGACCGTAGTCTGCCTCGAGCCTTCGAAATCTTCACGGACAACAAGACCTATGTCTTCAAGGCGAAGGATGAGAAGAATGCCGAGGAGTGGTTGCAGTGCATTAATGTCGCTGTGGCCCAAGCAAAGGAGAGGGAGAGCAGAGAGGCAACTACATACCTCTGAAGAAACTACTCCACTAACATTCAGGCACTCTAGCTGCCAATAATGCGATCAGAACATTCCTCTCTCTGAAGCTTTTGCTGCTTTATCTCACCGCAGGTCACTATGGTGTCTGAGGAGCAAAGCTGATTCGAGACGGTGGGTCTGTGTGAGGCTGGAATATTAATATTGCTCTTCAGGTAATGAGTGTATTTATAACTTTAACATTTTCATTAAAATAAAATCAGATGGGATAATGCATTGAATAGAAAGCGTTGGCTTCCCACTTCCCTTCCCTAGTTTATTTACCAAAGAAAACAAATTTTTCCAGGGTCAAGTATTTACCCAGTGTCAGGTTACAATGATCTTTGTTCTGATTCTGCTCCCCACTGATATTAATTATCATAGGTTCATGAAGTCTTTTTTTGTTCTCACACATAGCGTTCCTCTTGCAGTGGTTGTTTAATGCATGCAGTGACTGGCAGGGATTGAAGCACAGATGTGGATGTGGTTGTGAAATGGTATTGGCTCCTGTGAGAGATTGTAAACCCACAGGGGATTCCACACACATCTGTAATCCATCCTCTAATAATCAGGTATTTGGGATAATGGGTCCTGTAAAGTTTCCCTTGCATTTATTAACCTTGATTTAGCTTCCCTTTATAATGAGTTCTCTGGACAGCAAAGACACCTTCGGTCATGAAACTGCAGTTGGGTCACGACAAGATTAGGTACAATAGCAGTGGGTGGCTGGTGTTACAGGTGAAAGAAAAATAACCCAATTATCCAAACGCATCCACGGACAGACAACTGGGATAACATTGAGAGATATGTTCCTACATGATGCACGTTTTCACATGTTTCCTATTCTGAGATACCGTCATTTTGAATTCCACTGTAGAAACGTCTGCTTAGTGTGAGGTCTTTTGCAACTTGCCAATCCTGTGTTCGTACCAAATACTGTATGAATCTTACAAATTAACATGTATATACTTGTAAATATGCAGAATTTAAAATTAATGAGTCAAATAATTAAACACAATAGGAAAAACAATGGAAGGCTTTACCTGTGATCTGTTTTGCTTAGCAAAACGGTACTTTTTTTTCTTCGGACACAGGAACAAAACAAATCCATCTGACAATTTTCCCTTTCTCTCTCCATGCTAGGCCTGAGATTAAGCTGTCCTACGAGGCTGAAATATCAACAATTTTTAATAATAATAGTAATAATAAGCCTTTCATTTGATATAGCACCTTATCACGTCTTCGAGACGTCTCAAAGCGCTTCATAGAATATACTGTAAAGTGAATTGACCGTATATTTTGTGGGCGAAACCCGGCAGCCAATTGCACACAGCAGCGTCCCACAAACAGCCGGGGATTGAAGTGACCAATTTATTATTTCTTTTTAAAGGAATTAATCCCCCCCCGGAAAACGATCCGACAATCGCCGAACAACAGGGTTCCTACTTACTGCTAGGTAAACAGAGACGTGTGGAGTAAGGAAACTTGTCCAACATTTCACCCCGCCAGAATCAAGCCCAGGTCTCTCGCTAGCGAGGCGATTGTAGCAATAATGGTACTTATTATTTTATTACTGAAATGAGCGCAATAGTTTTATGAAAGTTGTAATAATAAAACACATGTCTAAATTATGAACTATTTTTAGAAATTCCTCTACCGCTCTCTCCCTAATATTTGTTTCATTTCTTTGGGGTGGGGGGGGGGTTTTACATGAAAAGGCAAGTTCTTCTAAGCACTAAAGTTGCCTTGGCTCATGGTTTAATGTAGAGGAGATGTTTCCTTACTCCACACTGCTAATAATAATCGCTCAAGAAAAAAAAACAATACTAAATTGGTCACTTTCAATCCACGACTGTTTGTGGGGACGCTGCTGTGCGCAATTGGCTGCCGCGTTTCGCCCACAAATATACAATCAATTCCCTTTACAGCATATTCTGTAAGGCGCTTTGAGACATTGAGAAGACGTGAAAAGCGCCATATCAAATGCAAGCATTATTATTGTTATTATACAAAGAACTGTGTTAAAACACAATGGGATGTAAACGGCGGTGATTCATAATGGAGGCTGTTCGTATAACAATCCTTCGCAATTCCTCGCACTCTTAAACGTTTAAGACAAAAACAGTCTGAACAGGTTGAGCCTGAGTGGAATGTCGGGCCAAAAGAGGGGAGTGAGCGAGGCCCATGAGTGAGGTAGCTCTCTAGTGTAACCTGACTCCCTTTGATGAAGTTCCTGACCTCTATGCACTGCTTACCCCTGATGGAGTAGGCTGAGATTGCTGGAAAATTATGAGCACAACCAGGTTTATTGCTGCTTCGCGGGCCTTCAGATTGTAGCCGCGATGCCCTGTTCTACCCAATGAATGATATTTCCAATTGGGAATAATAAGTTCAACCCTTAAACTGAAACATAGGTTTCGAGGTAATTCAAACCATTTGGAACATTTATTTGGGACGGGGAAAAAACTGTTCTTGAAGGTCAAAAATTAACATTCCTTGAAAATAAATCGCAAATATGATAATTGTATATCTGCGGTTTATAGAACACATTCCCAGTTTGACCATAACATTTCTTGGCAATCGGGTTGTTCATTTCTCAAGCTGATACTATATAATGTAAAATGCTGTAACGATACATCAAGGCATTATTCCTTTACATTTCACATTTTATTGATCGACAGCATTTAGGATGTCACACAGCTGTGCAATAATTCAGTATATTGCTTTTTCTTTTATGGGTGCTCATAATACACAAGCGAATGACTTTCGGGATCTTTCTATGAACAAGATAAACACCCAATAGTCCATTTGTAGTGTGATTATTATTTATTTGCATAAAAAGGGAAAATAAAGATTTCTTTCCGATGTTATACTTTGCTGGGCTTTTCTATGTAGAAAGGAATCAGTTTCTTAACTCATAGATGATATGATCTCTATCAATTGCCGATGTGGTGTCATTGAGTCTTACACATGCAGAGAAATGTTTTTATGATGTTTAGTTATAGATTGGACATATATTTATAAAATGTACAGCATAATCTGTGCTTGAGAGCAACATATCATTAATGCACAATTTGTAGAATGATAATAATCCTTCTATTTGATCCTCAGCCTTATCATGTCAATGTTGAAAGCCCTTCACAGAGATTTTCAACAAAGTGTGGTGACTGTGTATTTGTCGATGAACATGGCAATCAATCTGCACACAGCAATGTCCCACAATCAGCCAGGAATTCAATGATTATATAAATGCAAGTTCTTGGTGTTGCTGTTGTTTTTAGGTTTTTACAATGTGTTTCCTTTGTGTAATTTTAAAATCATTTGCTGAATCAACGAGAGGATCTATCGTACTATGGTCAACGACTTCTCCGGGTTTAGCAAACTTGGCAGTGAGTAGCCTTTGTCAGAGGAATAATCACAATTGTAAGGAGGGAATAACAAAAAGAAGCAGATTCTGTCCCTGCCAACAAACACGTCCAACTCAGAGAAATGCCATTCCAGCAATAGCTTGGGAACACAAAGGAAAAGTTGTTAGACCACTCGGGACTAAATTGATTCCTGCCCCCAGCATTGGTCTTGGCAGCAAATTAACTTTGAAATCAGCATTCACGTCCAAATTCAGGCAGCCTTCATGTCCGAAGCTGTGTGAAGGAAAGAGGAAGGAATATGCCCATGTTTGTTTTATTGCAACTTTTTTTTTCCCCTTTTGCAAAAGTTTTGAATTACATCAATATGGCATTGGCATCCAATAGTTTTGCAGAGGCATTCAGTGATTATGCACAGTTTAAGAAGTTGCATTGGATTAATCACCATCTTGTACCCCACAGTATTTTTTTTCGGATTTCTAGGAATCGTCAAACGAAAAAAAAAACTGCTGTCATCTTTCCAAAGAGCCACATTGGGGTGTTCGTGTTTTGTTTTGATCGCTAAACACTATACACACACTTTTTTGACACTAACTTCAAATAAACTAACTCCCCTGCTGCGATGGGGGTTAGTTTTTATCACTATAGATTATTTGGAATGGCACTGCAAAAAACATGAGGACTTGTCCCACAATTGGTGGTCATTCAGCAATATATCAACAGTTTTGAGCATTCCAGTTTATGTGTTAGAAATGTTACTCTAGACCCCTGTGGAGTTTTCTCCACCCAGTGAGGCGCCTGTCTCTGGTATGCAAGTGTCAATTATCATGCTCCATTATATGTAGGTCTGTTAAATCTGTATTCAAAGTGCTACCACCATTTTCGCTGTGCCTATGTTTCAAGGGCAAAAAAAACCTTTTTACTGCATTGGTTGCATGCGGTAAGCAGTAAGATAGATGTAAACGTTTAACGCGGTGATTTATGTTTTTTTTTGTAGTCCAATCTTTCCATGATTGCAAAAAAAATGCGTGAGATGTTTGGGAATCAAAACCTCCTTTATCCAATTGGAGTAAAAAAAAGTTTGGAGTCACAGGGCAGGTTTCGTGCTGACCTACTTAAAAGATGAACACAATCCTCTCTTTGTCAAAACAAGGTTTTTTGGCTAGTTCTTCCTCCCCGCTATCCTCGCTCAGTGTTGGCAGCTTTCTTCTTGTCCACATTTTTTTTTAGAAGAAACAGCTTTATTAAAATGTTCCGGATTTGTTTCTTCGCTCAAATATAATTTGGGAAGGCAATAAGTTGACTTTCAATGTGATCTTTTTGTTAAAAAAGCGTAAGATGTTTTTTTTTCTGTCTTGTATTATTTTTCTCCCCTTCCAGTCTTCTAGGTCTTGAGCCATTGTTACTTGAGAAATTAGGATCCCTATTACCTAATGCGATTCTTGAAGTAGCCACTGGGAGATTCTTGGGAGCAAATTAGATGACTGGAATACATTGACTTGGCTTTCCTTTCCTCTATCTTGAGCGTAGAGCATTTTTCCTAATAGTGAGGCTAAAATGGGGAATTCAGAGAGAAGGGGAGTTAGAGGCACCAATTCTTGTCCCACTATTTTGTACTGAGAGCTCAAAGGAGCTTTGAGATACCCTCCCCGACGTGAAAGGCTTCAAGACATCCTCTCTACGTGATGAGTTGAGGACTTCCTACATAAAGGCACCGAGACTTCTCCAATGCAGTTGCAGGATATATTCCTGAAATCAAGTCGGATTATCCATATTCTGGTGTGCCTTCTGTCCAACCCTTACAAGGGATAAATACATTGAGATGGGATTTAGATAAATAATCTGATTGTAAGAGATGATGGTTCATAATCAAAGGGTGAGCAATTACGCTCACAAAATTTACAGTATATCCTGTGAAGTGCTTTGAGACGTCTTGAAGACGTGATAAGGCGCCATATCAAATGCGAGGATTATTGTTATCATTATTACGTTTCACTTCCAACGGCCACTTTACCGTGAGAAATTCAGCTTATGTCTGCTTATGAAGAATGTTCCTCAACTTTCACTCAAAACAATGTCAGGAAAGGAGCAACCGTGTGTTAGGAAAGCTTGGACGACCCGAAGCTAGTCTTTGGCAGATTTCTCTTCTTAACTGCATTGATGTCAAAGTGTCTGGCTTTACAGAAGAGAATAGATCAGCATTGTTCTGTGGCACTGTGTTCTTGCCCAGTTTCCAGATGGGATTCAGACTGTACTATATTACAGGCACTGTGTTTTGCTTAACAAGGTTATGCTGTTCCTCGTTTCGAAAAGGAAATGTATACAATATAATGTTGTCTCGCATCCAAGTTACAATAGCTTTCTATTAAAATGCTTTTACTTCAGTCTGCAAGGTCAAACATTGTAATTTAGCTCATTTAAACCACATGTGCCACAGCACAATTTGCATTAATGTCATACAATAATTTGGGGTGGAGCTATTTTGAAAGATAAAAGCACTAGTTTTTAAATACACATCGGCTTCTCAGATGCCCCTTAAATATTTCTGGGGAAAAAACCATCAGAAACATTTTAGACGGGGAAATCTTGCCATATAGGGTGATTAACTTTTATTGGGATCTCGTATAACCCATTTCACAGCCAACACATTTCAGCACAAGCGGTTTAGGTTTCAGCTTCGGGTTGTATTCTATAGGATAATTTGTAGATGGCAGTGCCCAATTTCAGAGCAGCTTTTCATTGTGTGCAGGAATTTCTACTCCCATTGTTTCTTCTCCATGGGATTCTGTACAAATGTAGCTGCCATTTAAAATACCCTGACCACTGCCTGACAGTCTCCATCTCTCTCTCTC